TGGATGTTAAAGAGGTGTCCAAAGGCTCGACGTATAATGTGGTGCTGTCCCCAGGGGCCAAAGAAAGGGTCCCACCATAAATCCTCCCTCCTGCTCCTAGATTGGGCAGCTGTTATCAGAAAGATGGTTCCACGGATGGGTGGCGAAGAACCCAGATGGTAACCAGTTCTATTTCTGTCAGCCTCCCAGGTGTACTGGCCACTGAGTCTTACCCAAAACCTGCCATCTGAGAATGGTAGTCTGAGGGCACAGCAAGGAGGAAGTGACCTCGCGCAAGGGGCAGTGTTTTCCATTTCCCTGGCTCTGGGGAGCAGTAGGACTATAATGACCAACACTCCAAACGGAACAACTTGTCAATTTGTTTCACATCAGTATCGGAAAGAAGCAAGAATTCTACATACACTTTTATAAACCTGTGTGAAGTTGTGCCTTGTGCAACTGTGCGTGTGCCTTGTGTGCCGTGTGTAAGGTGTAACCTTGTGCACTGGTGTGTCTCTACAGTAAATTATGAGGCATGGAATGGCTGTGTTAAAGGTAGACATGACTAAATTTTAATAATGAATTCCCTCCAAAACGTTTGTACTGTCTTTTTCTCACCAGTAATGAATGCCTTCTTCTTCATGATCCCAATGTTACTAAAGGCAGTAATGAAACGGGGAGGTAGGAGCAATCATAGGCTGTGCATGGGAAAGAGCGCCAGGGTGACTCTTAAACATGCATATCCTTAAATTAAACCTCGAGCACTCTTATTTGATGCCATCTGATATAAGACCTTAGCTTGCTCCATCTCATTGGCACTGCTCCACCTATTCCTCCAAAGCTGAGTCCTGGGAGGGATGGAATACTGTAAAGACACTACAGACACATTTCTTATTAAATGAATTCTATGTGCCAGGCATGTGCTAGCCATGTTATATTTGTTTCATTTTTACATTTTTCAATATTCAAAAGATACCAGTGTACTACAGATGAAATCACAATAGAAGAGATATTATGAGAGACAGAAAAGAACTACTGTGCCTGGTGTAAGAGTGTATGGCTGTAATCCCACCTACTGAGGACCCTGAGACAGGAGGATTCCGAGACAGGAGGATCCCAAGTTCAATTACAGCTTGAGCAACTTACTGACAAAACAGTTTCTCAAAATTTTTTTAGATTTTAACTTTGTAAATAGTTTGGTATGTAGCTCAGTGTAAACGCTCTCTGGTCAGTAAAACGCACACACACACACACACTCTCTCTCTCTCTCTCTCTCTCTCTCACAGGAAAGGAACATTTGGAGATGTAGCTCAGTGGCATAGCACATAGCCAGCATTCATAAGGTCCCAGAAGCACAAAAAAGGAAGGATGGATCAGACACCTCAATGTTAAAGGCAAAATGACAAAACACATAGAATACAATATTATATAATATCTTAATGAACTGCAAAAACTATAGGATGGATGATATGGGTTGTGAACAATATAGGAATCCAAGCAGCCTAATTGATAAATTTGGAGTTTTATTAGCTGAGCTGAGGACCACTCGCGTATGGACCCCAGTTTCAGAGTCCTACCAAGTGGCCCTGAACTGGAAAGTTACAGAGCTTTTGAAACAGAAAGCCACAAAAAAACATCCTGTTGGAAACAATGTAGCTAGAACCTATTAACTTTTGATTGACACCTGTATCCTGCTTCTTTGTTGAGCAGGTTAATTTTTTCTCTTGTGGGTACAACTCATTTCACTTTTCTCATGGGACTGTACCTAGGTGATTTTTCACTATTCTGGGTCAAATACAGGCCATTTGTCAAATACAGGGAACAAGACGGCATCAGTTATGCCAAGGTACAACACATATGATCAAAAAAAAATCACTACACATAAAAGAGATGATTAAGCTCAGCAGCAAAAGTGCCTGCCTTGTACAGACTTTACTAAAAAAAGTTAACTATGTTTATCCAGGAATAACATTTATTAAAACAAGTCATAAACTGAAAGAGATACTTATAATACATATATCCAGCAAAATATGTGGTATCCAGAATATATAAATATTATAAATCACAAAGAAAAACACAAAAAAAATTAAAATCAGACTTGAATAGGCATTTCACAAAAATAGATACCCAAAAAGCAAAGAAGTACATAAAATGTGATTAAAATATTATAAAACTGGAAAATTAAAATATAATCAGGGAAAATCAATTTGAATCAAATACCAAGAGTGATATGGCTATCTTACCAAAAGAATAGATAAAATTGCAAAGACTGACCTTTGGAAATGTGGAACTGGAACAATCAGTTTGCAAAGTGCTTGAAGGATCCAAGCCTTAGTTAAAGATGGTAAGAAGAGGCCATGGCAATAGATACAGGAACTTCTGCAGTAGGGTCCTAAGGTGGAGGAGAGAGACTGAATTTAACCACTACAAGTAGTGAAGAACAAACTGAAGCTGGGTGTAGTGGCACATTCCTGTAATCCCAGCACTTGGGAGGCTGAGGGAGAGAATCATTTGCAACATTTGCAAGTTCGAGACCAGCCTGGGCTACAAAGTGACCCCAGGCCAACCTGAACTGCATAGCAAGACACTGTCTCAAAATGACCAAAAAAAAAAAAAAAAAAAAAAAAAAAGAAAGAAAGAAAGAAAAAAGAAAAGAAAAAGAACAAGTTGAGACTTATAATCAAGGAGTAGGGTAGTGTCAGTGGGGAATAAATCACTAAAGGGAAGCATCAGGATACAGGGTTTCTGTCAGTGCTAAATTCTTAAGATTATCATCGAAGGCAGGGCAGGGTGATTGTGGGGAGTGACTGAAGCTGAAGGTGGATCACATGTGTGGGGCAGGAGCAAGGTCAGCCCCAGAACACAGGGTGCCTGAGACGAGCCAGGTGACCGAGCTGCTAGGCAGAGGGCTTTCACATGGCGTCAGCCTGCATCGAGCATAAACAAACACACTGTGGTCACTGGTGGCTTCTTGGGGCTTTGCCTGACCTTGGCTTTCTGCATGTTCACTTTTGCCTTCATTTCTTCATGGTCCTCCCCACTGGGAGTTTCTGAAAAACTGCTCCAGACATGGCAGTGACAAAATACTGAGAGTGGTCAACTTGAGACCAAATGCTGGTGAGAGGAGGGATCTAGGAGGCGAAGGAGGGAAATGATAAATATCTATCATGGCCTTGGCACCAGCATAGCTGCAAGTGCTGTAATTTATTTTAATATCCCTCACGTCTTATGTAATTTAGGAAGTTGTGATTAACCGCCAATTTGAAGCAGATTCCATCAAAGATTTGACTTGTAACTTCTCTAAGAGAAGAAGTGCGACACCTTGTACTCACCAAAAACAAAAGCAAACCGTCCCGTATAATCCTGGAACTGGATATGAGAAAAGTGAGTCTGAGCCATCCAGACAGTGATTCATCCTAATGAACACATAGGCTCCTCTTAGGGAGCATCTTCCAGTCTGGCTGATCCCTCTGTCTGCGAGAACCTCACCGCCTCTGTCATTATCGGTTCCTTGAAAAGGTCAGTGGTTCCACTGCCAGAGGCCAACCTGTCATCCTTTGGACTCACTGACTTCACATCACAGGTCATGGCCTCTCACTTCCCACCCACCTGCTGGAGGGACAGGAGGTCCAGGAAAATCAGCACCTAGCCAAGATGAGGAGGAGGCCGTCACCCTTTCCTCTCTGCAGTGCACAGATCCAGACCATGTTTCTTTTTCACCCTTGGGAGACAACCCCTGAGGGGAAGGAGGGTCCCTTGAAAGCTGACCCCCTGGGTCTCCCCACTGAGTGGCACCAACTTATTAGCATGTCTTTTCATTGCCTCTGAGCTCTCACTGGCTCATTTTCCATTCTTCTTCTTTTCTAACTGTGGAATTAACTCTTTAATCATCATCAGCTTGTAAGCTTGACTCAGGCTTTGATTTCTAGGGAACTCAAAGACACACAGTGTTGGACATCTAGATACTTTTGAATCTAAATTTTAGAATTTGGTGTGTATAAATGTATTCATCTTTTTATGTAAAAGCATCGAGAGGCCACTTCATCATGTCAATGCTTCCTTTTTAATTACTGAAGGTTATGTTAGTAGGAAGCACTAATTTAATTTTATGAAACAGTGTTTGTGAATATCAAAGAAAAGGGACTGACAAGATGAAACTGACATTTATCACTACCTGAAGACAAAGTTAAGTTTGGATAAGGGATATTTCCAAATAGTTTTAATATAGGAAAGTGGTGGGACCATGTGGGTTTTCATTTGAGACTTTGCAAACTTAAAAGAATCTATGCAGTAGCTAATAATCCATAATTCATATTCTATGAGACATTGATTTCAGAAAAAAGAAGTTAATATTATTAATTTAAACTTGACTGTCAGGAGATGTGGACTAGGAAGAGGAGAGGGCTGATGGGGAAACTTGAAGGAGTTAGTTTTTCAAAGTGTGATGCAAATTTTATCTTTTGTCTTGATTATAGAGCAATAGATCCTCTCGGTATTACTTGCAAATACTTCTGGTGTGACAGTGTATTCTAAGGGGAACACCAAGAGCTGCTGAGGCCGTGTCAAGCTTGTGAGGATACAAATAAAGGTGACCAACAGTTATAACTAGATACGGAACGTGCAAAAGTCAAGCCTTTGTTGGACAGGGTTGGCAAGGGTCGGTGGTATTGCGGGATGAGTTAGATTCCCCGGCTGGACAAATATTGATAAGTAAGCAGATCTTTGAATGTGCTCGGTATGAGGATTTCCAGGGAACCAGGTGTGGGCTTCCCCACCCTCAGCAAACATCTGGCACAGCTGAAGGCAAACCCAGCACTCCTTCTTCTACAGTGAAACACTTAAAAAGTACACAACGTATTAAGCGATCGCTGTCTTCCCATCAAAGACAAATGCAATAAGAAACCCTTTAGTTCAAGAGGTTAAAGCCCTGTGATAAATCACCTTTGATAAGCTGGGGAAAGTGTGTGTCTGTTTTCATATATATATAGGGGCAAAGAAAGTCCTCTACCTAAGCAACAACATCCACAGTGGGATGTGCAGCCATGGGATCATGGAAGAGTTCCGTCTTCATCTTGGTCCTTCACTTTCTAGAAGGGGCCCTGAGCGATTCCCTCATTAAGCTGAATAACAATGGCTATGAAGACATTGTCATTGCAATTGACCCCAGTGTGCCCGAAGACGAAGCACTTATTCAACAAATAAAGGTAAGTTCAAAGTGGTACTTACTTACACTGTGACAGTGATCAATGGCAATGATCTTAAACAGTGCAATATTGTGATAGAAAATAAATTCTCTCATTTTAGGTACATGACACTAGCAATCAGTTTTTTATTTGAGTCTCAGTCTCTTCATCTGTGAAATGGAAATGATAACTCTAACCATCAGGCTTTTTGCAAGGGATGAGATGAACACAGTATGCATAACTCAGGGTTAGTTCCATTGCTGGAATTTAAAGAAGGATTTGATATTTACTGGCTGTGAGTTATTTGACTGAAAATGACTTCATTCTGCACTACTGCAGAATCAGTTTAGTTTGGCAGGTCCTGTGATGTGCACACAGGTATTTCCTTTGCCTGCTTTCACCACAGGCACCTATCAGGCTCACTTTTCATACTCCTAATTGCAATCCCCTTCCCTGTGATACCAAATAGGAGCCCAGAATGCAAGCTCCGATTTATAAGAACAGCCCTGAGCATTCCAGGGAAGGAAACTGCATTTTGTCAACCTAGAAGCAAAATCCCATCAGGGCTGCTGAGGAGCTGCACCTCATCTTATTTCCTCCTGCGCGGGAGAAGGAGTGACAATCATATGCCCCCAAGCTCTTGCCATGTTGGAGGGACTAGAGGTATTACACAAATGGCTAAAAATAAAAGGGAAAATCCTTTTGAAAGATCACCCTAGAATGTGGGTGTAGCACATTCATTCAGAGGCAGAATTACATAGAGTGAGAGTGATCTGTAAAGCAGGAATGCTTTAAAAAAATAGGGCATCGTGAGGATTAAATATAAAAATGTATTCACGCAAAGGGAAACTGAGTGAAAAGTAAATAGGAAATCTGTACAATGTTTGTATGTCACCTGCAAGTCTGAAATCGTCTCAAAACTTTAAAAATAACATAAAAATATATCATATGTGTTGCTTTATAAATGTTAGATATAGTCACCAATCACATGTCCTTTGTAACGTAAATAGTACAAGAGCCCAGAGATCTCTCCCCCGGAAATAAAGCCAGAAAAGTGGAGTTTGGAGAAAGAACCATTTCTACTTAGGAGGAGTTTCGTGGTGCTCCCCACATGTTTTATTGATTTCCTCCATGTTCACTGACAGGTTCTTCCGAGACTCCTTTGTTGGCTCCTCCTCTGCCCACCGGGAAATGCTAGCGTTCCCTTCCATCCTCTGTCACCACTCACTGTCCATCCTGCCAAGCAGGGCGCCCTCAGCTCCCTCTGCAGCAATCTGGGAGACTCTGGTCAAAACCCATCTCAGAGAGTCTACCCACGCGTTTAACACTGGGCTGTTTCATTTTAGAGAAATAAAGTTACATGTAACTTAAAAATATGTCATGATGCCATCTCCCTGTATCTACTTCCTTAAACTATACTAAAGCTCAAAGCTACCACAACCTGCAGTATTAAACTAAATTAAGTTAACTTGGTATTAAATGCCAAAATTATTACAAGATGTGGTAAGGGTCAAGGTCATACTCATTAGAATTTCTCTCCACTGCTGTTTGCTAAGTATCAGTTTCTCCCTGAAATGTTCACTGATTGCCAAGAGAGGTTATGCCACAGAACCACTAGGTGAGTTTAATAAACATTTATTTGTGCGAAGAAAACATCATTGCTAACACTTCGTGTGCCTGGTTTCTTTGTTCCTCACTCCAACATTATTGACTGGTCACTATGATATTTCCTGTTTAATAAACAGGATAGTTAGGACTCAGGATAAGAAAGTGTCCAGTGAGTAGTTAAGCCAAGATTAGCATCTGCTTCTAGTATCTGAATTGCTCACCACTGCATGGTATCACAGAGTATGTGGTAAATATCGAGAAAGTCTAGCTGCTAGAAACTATTAATAAAAGCATGGCCACATTTCCCCCTCCCATCTCATCTTTCCTAAGGTAAAACAGAGGTATAAATTTAAATGATTGGTGTCCTGGTCCTTTTTCAGTCATAATTGTTGTTTTGGGTATGTTTTCTTTCTTTCTAGGACATGGTCACTGAGGCATCTCCATACCTGTTTGAAGCAACAGAAAAAAGATTTTATTTCAAAAGTGTTTCCATCTTGATTCCCGAAAACTGGAACGCAAAACCTGAGTATACGAAACCAAAACTTGAGACCTACAAAAATGTGAGCATACCAAGTTCTTTTTTCAAAATTACCTTTCTTCTTTGACCTAGATTTTTCTTAAGTCAAATACTTCTGCGCCAAATGCAACTGTTCAGTGTGGTTACTGAAATGTGGTGATGATAAAAAAGCTTTTCTAAAATTTCAGGCAGACGTTGTGGTCGAACCTAATCAACTAAGTACTGATGAGCCTTATACCGAGCAGTTTGGAAAGTGTGGAGAAAGAGGTGAAAAGATTCATCTCACTCCTGACTTCTTAGCGGGAAAGGCATTGAAGCAATACGGACCACAAGGTATTGGCATGGATAAAATGTTCTACTATATCACTCACAGTCCAATAATTATTTTTCAAAGTGAATACATAATAGTATTTTTTTTATGAATTAGCCCATGTAATATAACCTGACAAAACGTGTTTTTCATGTAAAATTCAGAACAAAACGTCCCTCATCTATAACTTATTATTTTGTATATATGTGTAAATATAATATTTGGTTTAGAAAGCATCATTGTGCCAGGTTATAACCATGAAACAGTTTAATACACTATGTAGTGTTAGGTTTCTGTAGATCTGTGAGAAATCACCTAAATGAAACCTCCTGCCTGCAATTCAGATGGTGGCCACCAGAGGGCGAAGGCCCACCTTGCTTTGCAGTTATAAGCAGCTAGGGTTAAAGCAGAACCCGACTCAGCACAGGCTACAAGAGACCTGAGCTCATGGGTGGTGCTGAGACTCCTGGTCTGTGTGCCGTACTCCTGGGTGGCACAGTATTCTTTAGCACTGAAAAGACTTTGTTAAAAAGAAAAAAGGCCAGTTTCCTTTTACAAATAAACAAACCCTATCATATCTACGTGAACTTAACCCAGACATCTTTAAAAAAATATTAAAATCAACACGCAACAAGGCATATGTATAATATGTGCTCTCCAAGTGCAATCAAGTTGCATTCGTTAATGAATAATTGTGCTGATTTACCTCGCTGGCCCATCTGCCCCCGGAGCCCACTCCGTCCACCATGTATAGTGGTACCTCTCTATGATGTCCCCTTTCTGTGCTGTGACTCTACTCTTGCACTCTCAGTCTGCCCTCACCTTTAATAAGAAACCATCAGCTGCTCCCCAGCCCTGACAGAATAAAGTCCCAGCCCTTAGAGTCCAGTATCAGAGCTCCCTTAGCACGTCCTCCTCACCTAACATTCTAGACGCACCCAACCTGAAATTTCAGAAACACTAAACTGTGTCTAAACCCCCCGGATCCATCCAAACTTAACAGATAGCCAGGTGCCTATTAATTTCGAGGTACCATGTGCTCAGCATGACGATGAAGGAGTCAGACTTCTTGTCCTGATACAGACAGGTGTCTGGTGTGGGAGGCTGGCAAGGAAGCAGCAACACTATTACCTTACGGGGTACGATGACAGCCACAAGGAGGAGCTCCTGGTGAGTCTGAGCAAACTGGGAATGGATTTTGGGTACACAGAGGCTGCATTTTGAAAGAACAGTGGGAATTAGCCAGGCAGAGAGAGAGAGAGAGAGAGAGAGAGAATATGAGAATATTCCACCAAGGGGGAAACTGACAAGAATCAGAGATGAACAGGAGGATCTTGTGGCCCAGAACCGACAGTTCAGGAGTTCATCTCGATTGCAGAGTTTCAGATGTGGGTGGAGGACAGCAAGAGACTGGGGTGTAGGAAGGAGCAGGACCCAAAACATCAAGTACCTTGTGTCCTTTGCTCAAGAGCTGGATCTGGCACCATGCGTGTTTTCTCCTGGACCAGGAACTGCATGCATGGAAAAGGGCCAGTGGTTCATCTCTGTGTGAGTAACTGCTGCATTTACCACGTGCCTGATTAACGTTCGATGAGCCAAAATGAGTGCTTGTGCTTTACAGAAATGTACACTTGTTGTATTAGATCTTTCTTTCTTTCTTTCTTTTTTTTTTTTTTTTTTTTTTTTTTTTTTTGGTCTTTTTTCCTTTTTATTAGTACCCAGGATCGAACTCACGACTGCCTTCTTACAAGGCAGGCACTTAGGCCGCTGAACTAAACCTCCAGCCCCTGTATTAGGTCTTTCAAACCTCTAATGTAAAAAACAAACAAACTTATCTGGCCTTGGCAGCGCGCGCCTATGATCCCAGCACCCAGGAGGCTGTTGGATGCCAGCCTGGGGTAATAGCGAAAGCCTGTCTTACAAAAAAATAAAATCAAAACATAAAAAACATTTGAAAGTGTTGCTTTCTGCTCTTGCAAGAAAGTTATCTTACCATTCTTATTTTACTCAGGTAACCGAAATGTTTTCTCACAGGCAGGGTCTTTGTTCATGAATGGGCTCACCTACAATGGGGAGTATTTGATGAGTACAACAACGAAGAGAAATTCTACTTATCCAGGGGAAGACCTCAAGCCGTAAGGTATTTCATCTTCTCAAACTATTCTAAATTGTAGCTCCTTTCTTCTAGAATTAATTACTTTAAAAATCAGCCTATTTTCTCTAATTCATTCTCTCAGTGCATTTTTTGATGTCTACAAAATCACTGCTTTGAATTCTTTCAAATTAATTAAATTATCTACTTTGCAGCTATAAATCATTTGCCCCTTTTCAGAAAAAAAATAGTGTGCCAACTACAATAAGTCCCTGGTACCGTGTGCACTGTCTGTCTTCTGCACCAGAATCAGTGATGTGAGGAGAGCTAGTGTCACTTCAAAACAAAGTGACACTGTGTGGACTTGGTCAGTGTGAGCGGGCCTGGGGGAGGCTGTGGAACTTACCTGAAAGACAATGCAGATATCAAAGCAAAAAATCTTCACAGTTTGAATTAAACCCTGAATGATGTCCGAAATGAAAAGGAAAAAAACCCTAATTCACATTTGGCATGTACTCTTGGCAGTCACAAATTTAGGGTGAGCTCTGGCCACAAGTAATTTCTATGAATATAAACTGCACTAGTGCAGACAGACGTGACAGGAAACAGCAATTTTTTAAAAAAAAATCTGGCATAATTCAGATGCTAACATTGGACAGGTGAAGCGAAGAAACAAACTGTAGTTATGGATCTCTAAAAAGATGAAGATTTTAAATAAAAGGATAATAAATTACAGGTAGGGGAACAGAGGGAATAACAAACAAGGCCCAGTAGGATACTTCTGGAAATCCAAAAATGTAATGTTAGCTAGATGACATAGTACTTCAAGGAAAGCAAAAATTAAATGAATATTCACATAGTCTCAGCATCAACTTGGCAGAATTACATATTCATTCATGAATTAAGGAGCAGTTTATTCATGAATTAAGGACCCCCTTTTAAGGAATAAAAGTTGGTACAGCACCCTTTCTGCCTCCAGTCTTTCTGGACTGATGTTTGCCTAAGGAGTTGTGCTTGGCTTTCTCCGTTATGAGGCTTGGCTTGGTGCAGTCACTGCACGGGCTCAGGACTTGGCCTCCCACATGAAGATTGCTATACTCCAAGGTTTTCTTCCTTTATTCCATTCGAGCTCTTCAGTGTTGTCCACTTCCGTTTCTCCGTCCCCCTTTACTGGCACTCTGCAGCCATCAATGGACACTGGTACATTGCTAACTCCCAGAGCCGTGCAGTCTCTCGGATCTCGGGTTCCTTCAGCTTCTCTCCTTGGCCCTACCTGGCTCACAGGCCAACGTCGCTTCCCGGATATTAAAGGCGCTGGCTGACCTTCCAAAGTCTCCATCTACCTGTCCCACTTCTCCTTGCTAAGCTTCCAGACAGTGAAGACTCTGTGTCTTCCTTTGAGAGAAAGGCTGATTCATACCTACTCCTTTTTCAAATATTCTAGAAAAATCCATGTATCAGCATGTCCTTTCTTCCATGGAAACTATGTATACTGCATTAGTAAAGCTGATATGATTATCATGTCCTTTTAAAAAGAAATTTTGTAATAACATACTAGTAATATGTATTGCTTCTTATCTTCCAAACTTTTAAATTACGCTTTAGGCCTAGAAGCAACAACTAAAATGGCAGGACTTCCCAAAACAAGAGGTTACTCCTTGAACATGACACAGAACATCTATGAAAGCCGTGTCTATACCATATTTCATAAATAAACACTAGACACATTCCCAGGAGTGAGATAAAGGTGGCCGCTATCACCACAGTTACCCAGATTTGCCTAGGAAGTTATAGTCAATGCAGTAATACCTGAAACTTGGGAAACACTGTTATGGAACAGACTGTGAGAAAGGAAGAGAAAAAGTGCCCTATGCAAATGATACATAGTCCATTTAGAAAGCCCAAGGAAATAAACTGAAATTAAAATCAAGATAGCCAGGCATGGTGGCACACGTCTATATCCCTGCACTTGGGAAGCTAAGGCAGGAGGACTACCATAAATTCAAAGCCAGCCTGGATTACACAGAGATTTCAAGACCATTCTAGATGACATAGCAAGACCCTGTCTCAAAAATACATAAATAAATAAATTCAACAAGGTTACCATATGAAAAATAAACAAATTGCTTCTCAATTTATTAGCAGTAATCATTTCAAAAATATAATGAAAAAAATGCTCCACTTAATGTGGCAATTCATTAAAAAAACCTCTTAGAAATATGAAAGAAATATTTGAAGAAATTATTAATTCTTTTCAAAATACTTAAATGGAAAGATAAATTAAGAAACTTTCAATTCATGAAAGTTATAAGTTCAACAAAAATTCATATGTAGGTTTTATGAAACTTTATTCAAAATGATACCATTTTTACCTCATTTCAAAAATCCTAGTTAAACTGAGATAACTTTTGAAAAAGAAAATAAAGAGAAAATTTGCTTAACAAATTTTAATATACTATAAGACTAAAAAACGAGCTGACACATATATGATTATTTAATATAGCTTAAGTTACAAATCTATGGGAAAAGAAATTTTTTAAGATAGGAGGAAAAATTTTAATTTACGTCTTTCAAATGACCAGTGATGTTAAACATTTTTATCATATATTTATTTGCCATTTGTTTCTTCATCTGAGAAGTGTGTATTCATTTCAGATGCCCACATTTGGGTTGAATCTTTCAATTTCAATGGCCTGCTTATTTTTAATGCTTTATATGTTCTAGATATATGTCCTTTTTCTGAAGGACAACTTGCTACATTTTTTTTCCATTCTGTGGGTTTTCTTTTCACTCTGATGGTGATTTCTTTTGATATACAAAAGCTTTTTAATATTATTATTGATTCTTTGAAGTATTTCCCATGCAGTTTGGGTTTTGCTCATGAACTCTCTGGCTACACCTATGTCTTCAAGATTTGTCGTACTTTTTATTCCTGTAGATTTACTGTTTCTATTTTAATATTTAGATCTTTGGTCTGTAGTTGTCTTTTCTGGTTGAGTCCTTCTGTACTTTAGGTATCAGAGTAATGTTTGCTTCCAGGATTGACTTTGGAAGTACTGTTTCCTTTTCAATTTCATTAAAGAATTTCAGCATTAGTGGAATTAGTAATTAGTAAGCAAAGAGATGCAAATTGGTTAATAATGAAATTCATCTATTACCTAGCAAGTTATTGTTACTGGGTTGAGAGCTCCCAGAAATAGTTGTTAGAAATATAAATTTGACCAATCAACATTTTGGACAGAAATATAGGTGCCACATACCGCATCTCTAATTTTTTTCTGTTTTTTGACTCAATAATTTCATGTTTAAAAGTCAGGCATGAAGACACACACCTGTAATCCCAGCGCTCAGGAGGCTGAAGCAGGATTATTATAAGTTTGAGACCAGCCTGGGTTACAAAGTGAGCTCAAGACCAGCCTGGACTGCATAGTGTAACCCTGTCTCAAAAAGACAAAAAATAATAATAATAATAATTTCATGTTTAAAAATCCACTTTAAAGAAATAGTAGAACAAGCCTTATGAACAGGCTATAAAATGTTTAAGTTTTAGATCTGATAATTTCCCCTTGGAATTAATTGTGTTACAAACTTGCAAATACAATCAAAACTTCATGTAAAATTTTGTTTATTCATTAATCTTCTATTTTTAGTATTGACAAGTTAGGGGAGAAATTAAATTAAATAAAGGTTGCTGAATTCACATTATAGTATTAAAAGATAAAGGTATAGAAACACATTTTTGAAAGTATTATACATTAAAATTTAATATTATATAATATTAAATTATATATTAAAATTTACCTTAGAATTTACTAATGTACCAAGTTTTTTAAAAGCAGAGAATACTTATGTGTGCAATATGACTCTGATACATAGAATGAGAAGGAAGTGATTCAGCATGTTAACAGTGCTTTATTTCTGACGGTGACACTTTTTTCCCTTGGACTTTCTTTTTTCTTTATGCATTGTTTATATAATCAAAACTATAATTAAAAAAAAAGATGGGAGACAAAATTCAGTTTATAACACCAAAATTGATAAGCATTTAAACTCATGAATATAAAGGATCTATGCAAAACTGTATGAAATAAACCAATTGGAAGAGGCAAAAATAAGCAGGAAATGTCAGCACATCTTTTGGGGAAAACAAAGAGGGTTCCTGATTTTTGAGGAACTAGAATTGTTTAGAAGGTGGCGAAAGTCAGAACCTTATTGATGCTGATATCAACTCTAGCCAGACTTAGTTTCCTGCTGCATAGAAATAAATTCTGATACTTTCTAGCAAATAGACAATCACTTCAATGGAGATTCAGTAATTTTGCTATCTGAAGGAATGTATTTGTTTCTTGAATTAGAAAATATAGACAAGCAATTTATCAGCCACTGACCATAATCTACCCCTTTGAAATGATTACATTGTCTAAACATCTAACCATAACTCTTTTCAGATGTTCAACAGATATTACCGGACAATATAAAACAATTAAGTGCCAGGGAGGCAGTTGTACAGTTGGACCATGCAGACTCAACAAATTAACAGGACTGTATAATAAAGAATGTGTGCTGATACCACAGAAGCAACAGATTGCAAAGGCTTCCATAATGTTTGCACAAAGTATTGAGTCTGTAAGTACCTTATTTTTTTCTCCCAGGCTCTTACCAACTTAATGAGGTTTTTCCCTGGTGCTCTGGGGAAAATCAAATTCCAGAGAAAATTTAGAGCAATATATCTGTTTTAGGAAAAAAAAATCATTATCTGATTCTCTCTGCAACAAGCTGAGAGCACAAAATCTGGGATAAATACCAGAATATTCCCTTTCTTTTATCCTATGTCCATTCCTTTTTCTGCTCCATCTTTCTTCTACTAGCTTTTAAGTGTTTAGAATTTTTTCAGATACTCTTAACTTCATGCAAGCACAAAAACATTTAAATGACACAATTGTCCAGGAGGATTATAGCAATTCTTTTCATTACTTAAGAATGAAAATAATGAACAGCATTCCTACTTCAACTTCTAAAGAACTCTTTTCTGCTTGTATATTTGTCTTTGACTGTTAAGCAAAATTTCTATCATTTAACAATTGCTAATACTCTTAGGGAGTTCTTTCATAGTTATAATGGCTTTAAACAGTGTTAAAATATATCTTAACAGTTTTGATTGGTTCGTTGAGATCGGGTTTTGCTAGGTTGATCTTGAACTTGTGATCCTTCTGCATCAGCCTCCTGTGTGTTGGGCTTACAGATGTGCACCATCATGGCAGGCTTACTGTTTATTTTTAATGTCCAGTTGGTCACAGATGAACCTCACTATCCTTATTAATGTTAAATATATAGGCCAGCAAATTTTCACAAAATAAAATGAAATGCATGAGCTAACTGACTTTAGCAGGGAGTGCTTATCTTCTAGCATCCTACATAAAATTAGATTTTTCCACTGGAACTTACCAGAGCCTGTCAATAGTGATAGATAATTTGATGAACCATAGCTTACCAGTCTACTCCCAAACCAATTAAGAAACTTTCAGATAAAGATCAGATAATGTACAGAAACTCTTTAACTTATGATGAGGTTAAATATCCCAAAAAACCCACCTTACATTGAAAATACTGTAAGTGAAAAATTCATTTAATACTCCTAAGTTACTGGGCATCATAGTTTAGCATTGCAGTGCAGCGGAGTGGGAGCAATGGCTCCAGCATCATGAGAGGCTATCCAACCCAGGAAACGACTAAAACTCAAAGTACCATTTTTACTGAATGTCTGTCCCTTTTGCACCACCAAAGGTGAAAAATTCTACACTGTATCATTGTAAGTCAAGAGCCATCTGGGTTTTAAATTAGCTACAGAGTTAAATTTGATGTACAGATTTGGGGAATTCTGGTTGAGATTCACATAAAAGCTTTTCAGGTTTCCTTGCTAAAAATTGGTCATAGCAATAATATGAGAAAACTATCAAAATTTATGAGGTGGAAAAAGCAAATAAAGTGGAAAATAAATGTTTACAAGTATAATCATTGCTTTCTGAATTATTAGACTCCCAGATAAGATTTTTAACTGAATGGTAAGAAAAGAAATAGATTACTTTTTCTTTGTGTATTGTGCTTCCCTTTTTAGTTCTCCAAATGCTAGGAACATAAACACCAAGGAAGAAGAAAAGAATCATTCTTTAATGACCATTAGTATTGTCCTTATTACATATTATTTTTGCATAATAAATGTCATTTTGTAGATGAAAAAAATTAATGCATAAAGAGGATAAGCTCACTCTAAAAGCAACAGAGTTAGCATTGAGCTTGTATTTATGTTAGACACAGGACTAAATTTTGAGGAAGTAAAATTTAATGAGATAATTTTCTCATCTGAGTGGTTTATAGCCCAGTGCATGCACCATTATCTTTAAAGGACCTTACTGAAGTTACTTTGTTGTACTATAAGACCACAAAGAGTTGATTAGAAATTCTCAGGAGAACAGAGGCTGCGAGCTCCACAACTTTACATGTCCATAAAAAAATCTCATCAACTTTATCCAACACTGCTCCTCTTCATGTGTATTACCTAATTCATTGTCACTACTAAGCCTTCAGTTGCCTGTATTTGGAAGGGCGTTTTCCTCTCCCACAACAAAATAACCAAAATCAATACATTTCACCAATGAGGCATCCAAGTGGACCACAGAGCCACATGGAGAGCTGAAATGATGTTGAAAGTTGGAATGAAGGGTACTGGCCAATAAGTGGGAAGTAAGGAGGCGAAGTCTAATGGTACAAGGTGGGAGGAAAAGATGGTACCAGGAGAGGAATGCCGAAAAGGGTGATACAAAGAGAGTAGTGAGAACTTGGAACAGCAAGTTTGAGGATTAGACAGGAAGCCACTTACAGTAGGGAAATGGATTTCTGAGAAGCAATAAGGGTACAGTGACGTTGAAGACATGGTGTGAGGTAGAATCTCCAAACCATGGCTAAGATGCACCCAAGAATCGTCTGTAGTAGTTGTGATATTGAATCATTGTGATAGGTTAGCAAGGCAGACTGGGAAAAAAAAACAGGAATTTAAACTGTGAGATACTTATTTTAATAAGTACTTTACTGTTAACTATATCATTTCATTGACAATTTCAGGTGGTTGGGTTCTGTAACGAAAAAAACCACAATAAAGAAGCCCCAAACCTGCAAAACCAAAAATGCAATCTCCGAAGCACATGGGAAGTGATCAGCGAATCTGAGGACTTTAAGAAAACCACTCCTATGACAACAAACCCACCCAAACCCACCTTCTCTTTGCTGCAGATTGCACAAAGGGTTGTGTGTTTAGTCCTTGATAAATCTGGAAGCATGGCGGTATGTTCACTGAGCCCCGGTCTTCTCTATGCCCCTCATAAATGTGTATGGTATGATCTGGACCACAACTTTGAATTGGTTGGGAATAAATATAACCCCCAACTTAAAACAATTGCAATAACATTCCCATCAGAAATGCCCACTGGCTGGGGATTTAGCTCTGTGGCATAAGCGCCTTCCTGGCAAGTGCAAGGTCGGAGTTCGGGCCATGGTCCAAAAAAAGGAGAAAGGATAAAAAAAATGCCCACTTCATTTCACAGAGATTTGGCATCAACGGTTTCATTTTCCAAATTAAATTAGTTTTAATTTGTGAGCAAAGATCTGATTAGTTAGATAAACTTCATGTTTTTAATGTTTTACTGACATTATATAGGTCTACAGGTCTATACTTCTATACAGGACTTATCCAGAACTATCACTAAAACACTGTACTTAATGATCATGTTATCTGGCTTTGCCTTTTGCTATTTATGCAAAAGTACTAAATTTTATGTAAAAATGCTGCTAAATATGAATGGAAAATTGCCTCAGGCAAGTCACTTACTGTATCTCAAAGCAGCCACCTCAGAATACCCTTTCGCCTGTTCAGTAATCAATCTGTTCGTTTAAATCCAACTTGATTGCTTTTCTTTTGCTTGTCCATCCAGAGTGATAACCGCCTTGACCGCATGAATCAAGCGGCCAAGTTTTTCCTGCTGCAGACGGTGGAGGACAGGTCCTGGGTTGGGCTGGTAACATTTGACGGTAGCGCCCAAGTACGAAGTGAACTTGTCCAGATAAAGAGTGATGCAGACAGAGATGCACTCACCAAACACTTACCAACAGTTTCTTCAGGAGGGACATCCATCTGCTCCGGCCTTCAATCAGCATTTACTGTGAGATATGCTCTGCTATTGTGGTTTGCCAGTGTTTGCCATGTTTTTTTTCTAAGCAATGTTTCCTTATATGGCCAGTGTCTATTTGAATTAGACAACCAAGAGCAAAGCAATGCTTCAAATGATGCAAAGACACAGGCCCCCAACTCTATTATTAACTAATTTATTCATGCTTTTGTGCTGTTCTGCATCTGTATAGCTGTGCTTTTTCTGAACATATGCTTGCACTCAACAGTATTTGTGGTAGCCTTCTACATATCTGTAGTGCTGTAAAGAAAAGATACAAAAGGCTCTAAAAGTATCTTCTATGAAAAAAAACTCCATCCATTTAGTAAATCTCCAAGGCAGCTGGACACTCCAAAGGCCATCTTGTTAAGGAAGAAAATATTGTTGAAGCAGCAGGCCCTCGGAACTGTAAATTACATTAATGTCATACCTAATGATCCAGTTACATCATCCCTCAATTAGTTTCTCAAATTCTTCTAAATATTTAAGCTCTTTCATTATAAATCTACTACTGCCTTTCCAGACTTAAGGTCCTGGGCCTCTTCCAGGAATCCTGCATGTAAAGAAATAGAGTCCCCAGTCCTTCGGAGTGTCCACACCTTCGGCAGGCTAACTCCTCCCCTAATGGAGGTTCTTCTCACACCTAACTTCAATGAACTATCAGAGGCATCATATACTTCCTACCACCTTTCCTAGTCCTTTCATCTGTATAGAAATATTTTTCGGAATCCTATAACATTTTTAAATTTAAAAACATTTGTTAAGACTTCTGGGCTTTTCTGTCTTATCATCCAGCCATGTATTTCAACCAAGCAAAGCTTCTTTAGAGCTAAAACTTAATCTTTTAAGTCCAAGTCTGTTGACATGCTGTCATTTATACAGGAAGTTCTTTGTAAATAAATTGCACTGGGTTACTTAACGCACCAATAACACCTAAGTTTGAATAGATCCAGGTACCCTGTATTTATGGAGGGGCTACTGACACAGAACAGCAGGCTGGATGAGTGCACTGGTCTGATGTTTCAGAACCTCAGCACACTTGGGACATGGCTGCCCTTGGCTTGCTCTTTGGGTACAGCACACATATTGCTGGGTGATGAGGCTGTTGCCGCTCGTAAAGAGACAGCAGCAGGAATATGTATTTTCCCGCTCACAGAGGTAGACGTGGAAACTGGACATGACCATTTCCTGTCCCTTTGACCCTTTACCTGGAAGATCAGTTCCCTGGAAGTATTTTATACTGTATACTTAGCACAAAACCCTCCTCCAGGCCAGGAGCATAAAAAATCCTTTATGCACTTGGGTTCTGCTGCCTCTGCCACCACCCAAGTGTTGATTAAAGGAGTGAGGGAGGGGAAAGCACTGAAAATGAAATTGCTGATGTGCTGAACTCCTGCTGTGTGGCATCCAGATGTTTGGTGCTGAGCAGAGAATTTCTGGCTCTTCGTTTTCCAGTCAGATGAGTCAGAGAGGGTGGGAGGGATGCAACTGGAATTTACAATGCTCCTCAGCCTGGTGGAGGCTGGTGTGGGGTACAGGAGCTTGTGGGCTTCAGGTGAGGAGGCAAGGGGCCTTGGAGGCTGCAGTGTCCTCCAGATCCCTTCAGGGCCCTGGTCCTGGTCAGGTCTGTCCTGTCTCCTGTGGTGGTGCCTGCAGAGGTATTAAGAGGGAGCACCTGTTTATTCCCTAGGTGTGGCCAGGGCCTTGTGGTCCTACCTGGCCGGCTCCATTACCTCAGCAAAGTCTGGAAAGCCCTGTTCTCCCCTGGGATGTAGCCAGGCTGCCTGTGCCTCGGCAGGATCGCCCTCTGTCACACGCTGACTCTTCACTCAGCCTTCCTTATGACAGATGTGGAGACCATCTTCCATTTCTCCTGACACACAGTATTCATAGAGCATGCAACAAGGGAGTCCAAACTGGCCATTTCTCTGGCTTCTCAGACCCTGAATTTGTTCATATCAAGGCATAGTTGCAGCTTCCCGCTTCTGGGCTCTTTCTCCTTTTCATGGCCACAGTCCCAGTTTTGCTCTCTCCTCGTGTCATCACGGCTGCCTTGGGGTGATGGCCTCTTCTCCATCAAATAGGGAGAGAGACAGAAGGTTCCTGTCCTCAACGCTCTCTTCAACCTTCAGAGGTTTGGTTGGTCCAGGGAGGTGTTTCAGCACTTAGCCTGACTGTCTTCCCTACTTCAAAATCTTTCACTTATTTAGGGGACAATAGACTCTGTTTCCTCTTCTTAAATAGATCACATATTCTTTTATCTAACTTTCACCCCATCATAATCTTTTTTGAGGCAGGAGGATCACAAGTTTTTGCCCAGCCTGTGCATCTTAGTGACTTGTCTCAAAATAAAATACCAGGGGAGGCTGGGGAGATAGTTTAGTGTAAAGGTCCGGGGTTCAGTCAAGAGCAAGAGAAAGGGACATGCAGAGAGAGAGAGACTCATAATGTTGGTGCTGTAAAATCATATATATGATATTAATGTGATCATTATGTATATAAGGAATGTACCAATGAAGTTAGTTTTAAAAAGAAAATAAAAAACAAGAAAAACACACCTCCAAACACTCCCACATAGTTCTGGGTTTGCTCTCCTTGTCTCATGTAAAGACAGGTTTTACACACTCCAGTAACCCATGTCCTGAATCATGTCCTTAGGTGATCAAGAAAAAGTATCCAACAGATGGCTCTGAGATTGTGCTGCTGACCGATGGGGAGGACAACACTATCAGCATGTGCTTTAATATGGTGAAGCAGAGCGGAGCCATAATCCACACCGTTGCCCTGGGGCCCTCTGCAGCTGCAGAGCTGGAGCAGCTGTCTCAAATGACAGGTGAGGGATGACGGATCGGTTTAGACCCAGTGCATTTTCTCTTCCACTGGACTGAGGACTCCATGAACTGGAGAGAAGCCGGAATTGGGGTGAAGAAAGAGGGAGGTGGTCTTCTTAACCAACTAGTTACCCTTCCTTCGCTTGTCGCCATGAGAGTGAACTCCACCCAATTATTTTAAGAGCTGAGTTTAGGACTAGGGAAGTCTGAAGAAGATGGGTCAAGCGTGGTACTTAGTGAAGATTCAAGCCTGTTTTCTTTCCAGGCACCTTGTAAGAACTAAGCGGACTCTCACAGATAACCAGGAGCCACTTACTTTCATTTGACAGTGGCCAAGAGGCTGAAGGGAGACAGGTGACAAACCACAGACTACACACTACCATATCATAAGTGTTCTATTAGCAATAAAAAGTATTATATGGTAGACAGAAGGGAGATTTAACTTTTTCTGGAGCAGAAAACCCTGATAAAGAGAGCAAAGAGTCTCATGAAAGGGTAAAGAGGCTGATGAACAAATCAGAAGTTTGCTCCACATTGTAGCATATAATGTAGTGTCTCTATAAAGCATTAATGCACCATGTACTTAATTCCCATAGACAGCCGGGTCAACTAGATGCCTTGTGTCCTGGCTACTTGAGCAGAGTAGGCGAGCGCACTCTGGTTCTTTTTTTTTTCACTTAGGTAGGGATGGAGTGAAGGATATAAATTATTATACTAAGCTGCCTTCTGGGGCAATTTGGATGGCATTTTAATAGTTTAAATATGGTTTCACATTAACTGGGTTATTTATACTTACTCTAAGTAGCCCAGGACTGTCAGGCTTGATGTACAATCTTGCTTTTATAATGCACCCTACTTTCTATAACTGTTCTTTGGTGCTCTGTTATTTCTTGCTGTCGTCACCTACTTGTCTTAGTTGAGTTAGAAGGAAACTCTAGAACTAAGTGTGATAGAATTACATCTCAAGTGTAAACCAATCACCAATAACTGAAGGAAATAGCCACACAGAAGGTGGCCTTCTTGCCTCCAGGTGAGACCTCCTTGGTCCCACTGTGATGCAGTTCCTGGTGCAGATACCCCTGGGCCCTGTCTTTAGCTAGATTCTAAACTTAGCTCCTCCCCCTGACCTTTCTCTTCTTCCTGTTTGGTTTTTCTTGAGAACTTTCTTTCCCTAATCACATGTGCCCAAATGCCTGAGAGGCTTAATGCGTTCTTTCATGTCCAAGTGCATGACTTTTAAAATGTAGATTTTTAATTATATCAATTTTAGCTTCACAGAGATTGCAGTTAATATGTAGACAGTGAAAGTAGCCAGATAACATGGGGGCCAGGGATTTAGCTCAGTGGTGTAAGTGCCTGCCTGGCAAGCCTGAGGTGATAAGTTCAATCCTTGGTACCACCAAAAAAAAAAAAAAAAAGAAAAAGAAAAAAAAAGGAAGTAGCCAGATGACAGAGATATTGCTAAAGTTTTATTTATTAATATTAAAAATTTAGTATTCACTTCTGAGTTTATGTGCACATACATTTGATGTTGATCTGTTTTTACTTTAATAAAAATGCGATATTTATTTTATGTATTCCATCATTTTAGCAACAGCTAAAGTGTTGTGAACACTTGCTGTCTGGAAAATAACTTCTGATGATGTAATTGCATTTTAGGAGGTTTGCAGACATATGCTTCTGATCAGGCTCAAAACAATGGCCTCATTGATGCTTTTGGGGCCCTTTCCTCAGGAAATGGCGCCATCACTCAGCGCTCCATCCAGGTAGGAGTTTTTCCTCCTCGTGTTTACTTATTTTGTATGTACATTTGTGTGTTAATATCTAATCACAGTAAAGATGCAAAATTTAATGGTTAAAAATTTTAAGTTCTATATTCCTCTAGTATTGCATTAAAATGAAAATAAATGGTTCAGTCTGATTTCAGACATCATTCCTAAAATGCAACACTACTCACTAAACAAGGCAATTAATGTTGACTCCTTTAGAAATAAAACTAAGTGAATTCCTCCAGAAATCAACAACATAAATGTAATAGGTCCAAGAATTCTTAACATCTGCTAACAAAGACCCATGACAATATAATTGGCTGGGAATTTTCTTCAGGGTAGATCATCTCAATTACAAATTTTCTGGGATATGTGTCCAGGGATTACTTGCTCTATTTTCCATTACCTCAAATCTCTAATATTTGCCAAGATTGTCGTAAAACACAGGGGAGGCACTTTGCATTGTGGAAAAGTCCATGCTGTCCATTCAGATGCCTGGATTTCAGCCCTTGGTCTGTCATTAACTCTGACCATAAGCAAAGCCTGTCGAACTATGAACCAGAAAATGTCCATGACCCCATAGAGTTCCAAAATTTCCAGAAAACCAAATTATCTTTCAACATTCTTGGGACTATTTTTAAGGGGACAAATTATTTTAAAATGCTCTTTTGTAATAGTTGCAGATGTTACTCACAAGAATTTTTAAATTAGAGAGAATAAGCAATCAGTAATGATATTGATGTGAATTATAAATTTTAATATAAAAGTTTGGGTAAAGGTAAAAGGAATGTCAAAGCCTAAATGTCACATTTCAAAACTATAGGTTTTTGGGTCTACTTACAGGGCCCTGTCCTAGGACCACTGATCTCTATCAGTGGACTGACACAAATAAAATTCTATACGAGTTCACAGGAAAGAGAGATGTCATTTGAGTAATAAATGAGGTGAACAAAGAAAGTGTCATGGAGAAAATGATTGGGAAGACTTCTGGGGATTGAACCCAGGTCTCAGTGTTAAACTATATCTCTAGCTCCTTTTTATTTCTCTGGAGACAGGGTCTCACTAAGTCTCTAAATTGTCCAGTTTGGATTTAAATTTACATTCCTCATGCCTCAGCTTCCCAGAATGCTGAGATAACAGTCTTGTGCCCACATGCCCTGCTGAGAAAGTGAGTCGAACACAATTTTTAAGGATGAGTGAGGTTTAGACAAGTGGAGAGAACTTCCAGAAAAAGAGCGTGCAATAATGTTATAAATTAATAAAAGGGATTTATTGAACTTAAAGATTTATTAAAGTTAGAGATTCATAAGGATCCTTTGAGAAAGTGATCTTGTTTCAGTAGAAAATTGTGGAAGCTAAAGCCAGAAAGGCAATTTAGAACTGGATCATAATAGTTGTAAGTACCAAATCAAGAACTGAGGCATCATTGATGGCTTTTTGGGCACTTGGGAAAGGGAGAAGTAGAAAACACCATTGGATATGAGCCGTGTTCTCCAGAAGGTAAAGCGTTGTTTTCTTAACAGCTGGAGAGTAGAGGAGCAACCCTCCAGAACCGCCAGTGGATGAATGGCACAGTGATTGTGGATGACACAGTAGGAAAGGACACATTGTTCCTTATCACATGGACAAATCAGCAGCCCCAAATCTTTCTCTGGGATCCCAGTGGAACAAGGCAGAATGGTTTCGTAGTGGATGCAGCCAGCAAAATGGCCTACCTCCAGGTCCCAGACATCGCTAAGGTACGAAGTCAGGATTTTCTTTTTCCTTCTCATACCCTGACAAGGTAAAACAAAATAACTGTGGCTTTTAGAATAGTTGCTAAGAGGAGAGTAAGTATTGAATCAATAAAAAAATGATGGGAAAATCTCCATGCAGTGGAAAATCACTCAGTTTGCCAGCATGTCAAGAGAAAGGAAACTAATGATGTTTTGTGCAGATACTAAAGACAGAATCTTCCAATTACATAGTGTTGAAGATGCAAAACAACGCTGGAAGCTTTGACAGCACAAAAAATGTTCCTTCTACCTCAGCAATCCATGTCTTAGGAAACCAGGCCAATGATAAATGAGGGCCCAGCTTTCAGACCTTATTTTCTCTGATTGGGATCTTCCCAACGAGGAGAACCATGTAGGCTGTGCAAACCCTCTGAAATGTGCCTTGGCTGACAAAGTGCCGGTGATGCCCACGTCTTAGATATGCTTGCAACACACTTGTGTCAGACAGCCTTTTCCTATACGTGCCACTGAAGGCAAGCTTCTGTCATAGTTATTTATTGGAAATGTCTGCATCTATTTTGGTCAGGTTGGCATTTGGAAATACAGTCTGCAAGCGAGCTCACAAACTCTCACCCTGACAGTCACCTCACGTGCATCAAGTGCTACCCTGCCTCCGATTACAGTGACCTCCAAAATGAACAAGGACACAGGCAAATTCCCCAGTCCTATGATAGTTTATGCAAATATTCACCAAGGAGCTTCACCAATTCTCGGGGCCCAGGTCACAGCTGTGATTGAATCGGCAAATGGGAAAACAGTCACCTTGGAACTACTGGATAATGGAGCAGGTAACATCCAAGAATTGGAAAATATATTTTTGTTTTTCCAAGAAGCAACCAGGGAATGACAGAAGGTCTGGTGAGGGAGCCCAGCACTGGAAGGCTGGCTGAAAGAATCCTATGTCTCCCTACGATTCCTGTATTCTAAAATGTTGGAAAACGTGAAGAAGGGCTTGCCGCAGCTTTTATAAAACCAAATGCATTAGTGGCTTGAGCACAATAGACTCAGAGACTCTAGGGGATGTTTGAACTCCCAATCTAAAAGAAGATAAATTGCTAGCTTATTAATAGCTTATTTTGTGTTAGATATTTTTCCTGCCCTGCTTTCCTCTCTTCCTCCCTCTCTCTCCCTCTGTCTCTCTAACTCTGTACATACACACACACATACACACACACAATGTAAATATGTGTGTATATTTATATAGAAGCATATATACAGAGTTACGTAGAGATCTGTCTTCATTTTTATGTAGAACATTCATTTTTTAGACATTATTATCTTTATATTACAGTGAATAAATGGAGGCTTTCATAGTTCAAAAACAGCAGCAGTGTATCTTAGCACACTTCCCATGATTCCCGTGTCTATGCAGACTCTGTGTTAGCTTGCTTCCAAAGTGAAATCTAAACCTCCGCCCATTGTTTCTGTATTCAAAGACAAAAAAATAATTCTACATTTCTTTTCAGAAGGAATATGTCTGCTTGCTATGGTGCAAATAGCCTTATTAGAATGAATTTCCCAGCTATATTTACCTTGGGGAGAAGACAGAAATTTTATTAAATAGTTATATAGAACTTTTTCTTCCCCAGTCATATACAGAAATCATTCTGGTTGAATACATACTTATTAAATAGTTACTTCATGCTATGTTTAGTGTAACAGAGTCATATGACATGATCTCTGATTTCACAAAGAATGAAAAATTCAAGAAAAGAAGATAGACACATATAAAACCACTCATACAATGATAAAATATAAAACCACACATACATACAGTGGTAAAACCACACACACAACAGTAAAATAAGAAGTAGGTTCATCCTTAGCATTATCAGATCCTAAGGTCTTTTGGAGGTAATACTGAATTTCTTTTTGCTTTGAGAAATGTTAATGTATATGAATTATAAATATACGAATGCCCAGATACTGTTAGGACATTTATTATTTCCTTCATTTCCCTGGCCAGGTGCTGATGCTACTAAGAATGATGGTGTCTACTCAAGGTATTTTATAGCTTATGATACAAACGGAAGATACAGTGTGAAAATATGGGCCCTGGGAGGCATTAATACAGTCAGACAGGGAACAGCATCCAGGTCAAATGGAGCCCTGCTTGTAGCTGGCTGGATAGAGAATGGTAAGTAATTCAGCTTATGTAAAATGCTTGGAAACAGCAGAAAACTCTGCGAGGCAGAGTAATTCAAGGAGAACTGAGAGTTTCTCAGCTTTGCACGATTGGTATTTTGGGCCAGACAACCTTTTGCTGTGGGGCACTGTTCTGTTTATTGTAGATGGTTTAGCAACATCCCTGGCCTCCTCTAACCAGAGGCCAGTAGCAGCTCCCAGTTATCACAATAAAAAATGTCCCAGACATCATCTGCTGTCCACTCAAGAGGCAAACTAGCTCAATAAAACATAACTTTTGACTATGTTGGTACAAATTCTAGCCCTCTACCAAGTAAAATGTAAAACTTCTGTGTGTTTCATTTTTATCTGTTGTAGAGATAATAATGATAACTGCCTCGTTTGATGGTAGTGAGGAATAAACAGGGAAATATACCTGGTACGTTATTGCTAGAAATTATTATTTAATAAATATTTTTATTATTTTTTAAGAAAACATTAAAATATTTTGTAATGAAGCTCATTTTACTAACATTAACTTTTCCACAAAATGAAAATATAAGTTAGAACTTGTCATCTACATCAGGATTTCCGTAACCCACTCTGTCTCTTGCCTCCCTTCTTCGAACTCAGACCAAGAAGGACAGTAGACTAATTGTGCTAGCCAGCACGCTGAGCCTACGTGTAACCAGATGGGAAAACGATGTTTATGAAATAGATAATTCCACACCACTCTTGTTACAAGAACCTGCCCTGGACAAGTGCAGGGATTGGGGCAAAGACTGAGTCTAACAGGTTCCAGGGCTTGTTTTCCATCCATCTCCACTGTGTTTTGGCAGGCCTTTTCTTGTCACTCAAGTGAAGAAAGATCTTATCTCTTTTCTTGGGTGAAGGAGGATTCTGGAATATAGTGTGTCTTCTCAGCAAAGATGATCATAGGGATATGCTTTAAAAGACACCTATATTAGTTTCTTGTGTCTAGGACAAAATATCCAACAGCCACAAGTTAAAGGCAAAAAGGTTTATTTCAGGCCACATTTTATAGCGCTTTCATTATAGTCAGCTGGTTCCAAAGCAGGTTTGCGTGGCAGAGAAGCAGTCCATAGAAGGGTAAGCAGAAGTCAGAATCTTTTTTCTTCTTTTCCTTTTTATTCCATCCAGATTGCAAGCCTATTGATTGGTTCCACCAACACTAAAGATGAGTATTCTCTCTTTAGGAAGTTCATCTCCCACACCTGAAACTGTGCTAAACCAATCAGTGGCCAAATCCAGTAAACACACCCATGATTGGCAGCCCCATCTACAAGTACAGGAAGCTTTGAGTGACATCTAGATATAAGCCATAACAGCACCATTGTACCCAATATTCTTTCATATATTTAAGCTTTTTTTATCTTGCTTTTTCTTCTTGAGTTAGGGGGAAAATATAGAAGAGAAATTTAGTAGTTTAGCCTTAGCTCAGTGTTCAATTACCTAAGTATAATTCATTCTCCCAAATACCCTTTTCACAGAAAAGAAACAGAAGCTAGAGAGGTTATCAAACCACTGGTAATAGTAATAATATGTTATGTGATGCTGAGAAGCAGTCTTCTTGCCTCTATTCCTTGATAAGCTTGAGGACTTAGGGCAAGACTCTGTTGTTAAATCAAATACATGAATCTACCAAAGCATCTACTTCATCTTTGTTGAAGATGTAGTTAATAGATATGAGGATAAATCTGACTTTATAGAGAAAAACATGGGAACTACAGAAGTACAGTTTATGAGAAAGTAAATTTGGAGTCATGCCATTTTAGATTATAGTAACATTTTCATTAAAAGCATAGTCTGATTACCCCACTAATTGAGGAGGCCAGAGCATTTGTTTGAATCCAAAGATCACTTTTATACAAGAAGAGTGTAAAGGAAATTGGATTGCTACAAGAAAAAAATTTCCCATGAATTCATTAAGCAAGTTGGAAATCTTTCAGAAGTAAAACATTTTGAAATTCTTAGCATAAAACATTTAATGAGAAATTGTAATCAAAGAAGAAAGATGAAGCACATATATGGAGAAGTGAAAGAGAGCTACTTAGAACAATCCTTTGAATTCTTAAAGGTCTAGATGACTCATTATTAAATAAATGGGAAAGATCATGAAGTTCAGTATTTTTATCTGGATGATAGAGATTTTGTAAGGGAACCTGAGGTTTAAATTAGAGGCATTATTTAGACTGACCTTGTGGAAGAGTAAGTTAAAGACAGGCATAGAATGAAAAGAAGATAATTCCAGGACACATGTTACAAAAGTACATTGCAGAGGTTATTTACTAAATCTCCTGAAAACCTGTGAGATAAAAAAGTCATTTTCTCTTTTTTTTAAATCTTTGATGCAACCTGATTTGAAGTCTATATATGAGCCGCTGAAGTAAGCACAGACTTGGGGTCTTGTCACCAGACATTTAAGATGAATTTCATATAAAGGAAAAAAGAAGAGTAAGAAAATTGTTATCACTAAAACCTGGAGAGATGTTCAGCCATTTAGTGGTGTTGCTTACCGTATTTTAAATGATCTTTTAATACAGGTAAAATACAATTGAATCCGCCAAGACCTGCAAATAATAAGACTGAAGTTCAAAATAAAAAAGTGTGTTTCAGCAGAACATCTTCAGGAGGTTCGTTTGTGGCCTCTCATGTCCCAAAAGCTCCCATCCCTGACCTCTTCCCACCTTGTCAGATCACTGACCTGAGGGCAAAGGTGCAGGGTTACAGTGTCATCAACCTGACGTGGACAGCTCCTGGCAATGATTATGATCATGGGCAAGGTAAGCTGAGCACAGGGTGGATCCTGACAAGAAGTTTACCAGTCAAGCAGAGGTATAGAAGGAAGTGAGGAAGGGCTATGTGTAGGAATACAGGATAGGGCAGAAGGCACAGAATTCCTAAATATTATCTGAAATAAAAGGTAAAGGGCTTTAAATGAGAGGTGTAGAATCTGAAAAGCTGGCCTATTAGAGGATCAAATTTAAAAGAGAAGAGGTTTATTTTGGCTCACCATTTCAAAAGGTTCAGTCCGTGGTTGGCAGGCTCCAAGGTGAAGTTCACGTGGTGGAAGGGCCTGCTACAAAGGAAAGCTGCTCATGTCATGGCGACCAAGAAGCACAGGGAGAAGAGAGGAGCCAGAGAGAGACATAGCCAGAGAGTCTTAGGTGGCTCAGGTCACCAGTGATCTGCCTTTTCTAAGAAAGTCACACCTCTTAACAGCACATTTGGCTCTATGCCTAATAGCACCACCGGATCCAATCATTTTCCAAACACACAAGGATTCTGGGACCATTTTAGGTCTAAGCCATAACAGGGAGTAAGAGGTTTCAGCCAGCAAAGGCAAACTTTAGTTTTCTTCTCGACTCTTGCCAAAGTATCTCAGGACACCCCATTTTTCAGTAGTGATTTCTGGAGAAGGACTGGGAATAGAGCACCAATATCTGTGGAATGGAAATATCCTTTGGAAGAAATCTCAGGTCCTGCCAGACAGTATAGGTAACACAGGGATACTTGTTAGAAATGTAGACCCTCCACTCCCAACCCAGATCTAATGAACTAGAGCTTGAATTTTAAGATCACTGGGTGATTTTTATGCACTTTAACATTTGAGAAGTCTTGGTATCAAAATCTCCTCTATACATAATAAAACAATAAGCAAGTAATTAAATGACTTCTTCTTTCTGCCAAAAGTAGAAGAAAACATGACAAAAGTTTTAAGTCATGACCAATCCAATTTTACATTTATCACTTTGTTAAGATATACGAATAAGAATACAGAAGAAATATTAATACTTGTCAATACAATTGATTCTATTTCTCTGTTACAACTTTACGGTATGGTGATATATAATTTCTAATAGACTTACCATTAAGATGTGAGAATTTCAAGTTACATCTTTTTTCTCTTTTCCTCTTTAGCTTTCAAGTATATCATTCGAATGAGTACAAATGTCCTTGACCTCAGAGACAAGTTCAATGCTTCAGTTCAAGTGAACACAACTGGTCTCATCCCAAAGAAGGCCAACTCTGAGGAAATCTTTGTGTTTGAACCAGAAAACATTGCCTTTGAAAATGGCACCAATCTTTTCATTGCTATTAAGGCTGTCGATAAGGCTAATCTGGAATCAGAAATATCCAACTTGGCCCAAGTGTCTTTGTTTATTCCTCCTCCTCCAGAGACCCCTAGTCCTCCTGACATTTCTGTTCCTAGTCCTAATATTAGTATCAATAACACCATTCCTGGCCTTCACATTTTAAGAATTATCTGGAAATGGGTAGGAGATTTGCAGCTGACACTGGCCTAACACTGTCTTTTCATGAGAAGCAAAATAAATGAACCATGCTATTGATTGTAGTGTTTTCTAAAATCTATTTTAGGCTTCCTGCAGGGGGCGATATAACCAAATGCTACACAGCTAGGAACACATGCGTATATATGTAATCTCTATTGGAATACAAATGCTTAATCGTTGTTTGGTCTTTTAATAATGATTTTGAATTCTACATAAAAGAAGTGCCTGTATCAATACAAGAGAGTATGTTGTAATTCATTTTTAAGAAGTTTTGCCTGCTGAAAAGGACATGCAATTGCTGTTAATCCAATGAATAGCTAAAAGATTTTGTTTTCATTTAAAGAATGCTGGAAATGCCCAACATAAATTATACAAAGTATGACTTGTAATGTATGAGATCTGTAATATGTTTTCATGTTTCTGGATTTGAGCAAGGGTCATATATTTAAGGAAGGATTTTGTAATGTAGAAAAAACATAAAGATTCCCCACATATGTTACATGCATGCAATTACAAGTCAGTGATAATTGAAGACACTGTGGCAGGAAATGAGGTGGGAAAAGTCCCTTCAGGCCAGGAAGGAAGAGAAAGTGATTCAGAAATAAACATTTATGTTTTTGTACCAAGTGTTCTGTTAATTGCATTGTTATGTACATTAGCTTATTTAATGTAACTCAAATCATTCAACAAATCTTCATCAGTTACGAACTGTATTCCAGGCCTATGTGAAGCCAGAAGCTATAAAAAGATGTAAAGAGTTGATCTTTATCCTGAAAGCAATGAAGAACTCTTTATTTCTAAAATTAAGATTTATTTCTAAAATCAGGTGGCAGATAGATCAGAAAGGGACATTTAAGAATGCCATGAGTGACTGTAAAAAGGTGAGCAGAAACCAGAGGCCTGACAGAAGAAAGGAGAGAAGAAAAGGAAGACAAACACGGGACTAGCAGTGTGGCCGTCCCCAGTGCTCCCAAAGGCGGACATTCTTGTGAAAATATTTCACATTCTCTATTAGCATAATCAGTTCAAGATGTCGGTGGCTCTATGTATAATTGAAAGCAAAATATTTAGGTTATTGTTTCCACATAGTTTCAAATTTTATTTATTCATTTATTTATTTATAGACCTTCCTTATTTCAAAACAAAACAGATTTTGATTCACCTTAGAGATATATTCAATAAGCAAAACAAAAAAACAATTGAGTGAAGTAAATATATAGTAAAAACTACAGGCCAGGTGTTGGGCATGTACCTATAATTCCAGGACTCAAGAGGATGAGGCAGAAAGATCATCAATTAGAGGATGACCTGGCAATTTAGAGAGCTCAAGGCCAGTCTGGACTACGTATCAAGACGTGGTCTCAAAAAACAGAAAACACAAAAACACAATAGAAGAATCAGCTCATGTTCTGCAAAAGAAAATGATGTTCCACTTACATGATATCTGGCCATAAATATAAAGAACAACAACAACAACAAAAAAAAAACAAGACACAGAAAAGCAAAATTAGCCATCCTTTTCACCAAATATTACTGTATCTTGTAATTAGTCATGTTGGGTAGATACGCTGCTAGACACACTCTAAAACGAAAATGGTGATTTAATTATTTCGCTTTCCTGAGGATAATATGGTGATATCAACACCAGCAAAAGAATGAAACTGCAAGAGAGATAGGAGAGCAGAAAAAGAAAGAGCTACAGAGAGGGAAAAAGAAAGTGAGAGAGAAAGAAAATCTAAGTAATATGTTTTTAGAAATTTTATAATTAAAAAAAACTACCTGACATATGGCCTTAATGAATTTCACTTGTTTCCAAATAACTCAGTTCTATGTGGTTTGAAAATTTGGAAGAAATCTTTCAAAAGAAACAACTTTTCTAAGTATGTTTGTTAGAATGAGTCACTAAAACAAAGACAAGACAGAACAACAAAATAGAGTTCCAGGATGCTCACAGCAATATTTCATGTTTCAAACAGAACAGTTCTGGTGAGAAGAAAACAATGACAGGAAAGTTCTCTAAACTAGAAAGACTAGGTTTGTGTAAGTGAGTCAAATCTATTCAACCCAGGTCCTAGAACTCCATTGCCCAAAGGGAAATATAATAAATGGTTCTTCCTATCTTAACTTCCGCTAGAGATACATCTTTTCCTAAAGTTCACAGGAGATTCCAAATCCATAAGGGAAGGAGGAGGATAAACTACAGTGAACTGTAGAGGACACGGTAAGTTCACCACACATGGTCCAACCAGACACAAAATGCAACTGATGCCACCAGGAGACCAGGAGTTGGGTAGAGCATGAACATGGGGTCCAGGCCTCTGACTCATTGAGAGCAGGGCCTTACTGTCTGAGGGTGAGAAACCAGAAGACTCCCACTGGCCAGGTCGGGGGGCAGGAAGAGGTGAATGAGTTTCAAGATCTTGGCCAAGAAGAGAATCCTGTAGCATTCTTGTTGTTGTTACCCATTATCTTACCTGACAATGATAACAGGCACCTTTCCTGGGCTTCTACTAAGTGCCAGGTACTACGTACTGCACATAGACCCAGCCCCTCTTGTAATATTTGAGGCTTCTGGGTCAAGAGAACATAAGGTCCAGACATTGTGTGATAAATATAAGTCATTATAAATTAAGCTGACAAGCTCATGATATTCACAAATATACTTTCATACTGACCTGGAAAGCTAGACTCATATTTAAAATTCTTAGAAAATTCTCAGTGTTGTACTGGAACATGGCAGCTCTGGAGATGAACAGGAGGTACCCTGTTGCCTTCCTACTCCTCTCCATCTGCTGTCCAAATCCCAAGGGCCTCATGCCCATGACTGCAGCCCCTCTGGTCCACACGCCATACCAACTGCTGCCCTTTGGCCATCTTTCCAGCCTGAAGCTGCACATACCCTCGACTTTGTCTGCCCTTGGGAGAACCAAACCTAGGATCCTGGTCAGCTCCAGCCCATGCAGAACACAGAATGAAGATCAGTTACCTGTGCAGGGATTTCAGTTCAAGCATGTGAATTATGTTCTATCAGGGGAGAGGGTCACTCAAAGGATTAACACAACTCCTTGGCCCTGTGCATTAGAGGACATAACCTGGGGGGCCTTATGCAAAATGGAACTGCAAGACCTCTGCTTGGTAGGGTAATAGTATCATGAAGGCTAATATGGTATAGAATCTTTTATTTCTTCCATAATGCTTTTCTTGTTGTGTTTTTATTTTGTTAGCTATCTAATATTTTCCTAAATAAAGAAAAAATTATAATTTTAAAGAAACATAAAAATTTTACCATTCATTTTTATGTTATGCAATGACAATTTTAAATATAGATATATTGTAGTCAGGGGTTATGAGGAGAACAATTAGAATCAGGACACAGAATTTATAATATTATTTTATTATGGTCACCCAGAGTTAAACAAAAGAAATTGCAGGAAATCTGTCCCCAACACTAAAGACATAGAACATTCAGCCAAGGGCCTGGATCCCACAGCAATGTCCTGCATGAATCCAAATGAAAACCTAGAGCCCATGACAATACCTCCCACAAGGTCATTGGAAGTCTAAAGCCCACAAGAAGGATTCATGCCAGTCTGTTTTATGGATCTGCACTGGGAAGGCCCAAAGGTCAGTGGTGGAAGCTAGAAAGTCTATGCCAGTGGGGAGAAGGAGCTGTGCTGGTAGGTTGAGGGTTCTACCCTGGAGCTGAAAAGTCACACTGAAAATAGGAACCGGGGCTTTCTTGAAGAGTACCACAGCCATCCTCAGTGACACGGAGTTTCCAAGCTACCCTGATGATAATAGTCAAGTAAATGCCAGAAAGTCAGCATGACAAACTTCTCCTGGAGATAAAATAGCACACATCTTCCTCTCTGGAGCCAGGAAGCATGTAATGCTCCATGTAAGGACCAGAGCTCCCCGAAAGTGAACCACAGCCACTCTCACCAACAAGGTCCCAAGCTCCTCCAATGACGATGGTCAAACTCACACTGGGGAAGCTAGTTATGATGAGCTCCTCCAGGAGAACAAACAGCTCAAAACAGCAACATTTAGGAGAACCCACAATGCCTAGCTCTTCTCCACGTCTCTATTTATGCTGACAATTTTCCTCAGGTGTACCATCTACACTCAGTAGCATGCTGATTTAATTCAGTGGGTGTTAAGTTGACTGTCAATTTTTAATCCATAACAAGATATAAGAGCACTTAAGTTGTGTAATGAATATACAAACACATGTACTTTGAGGATTGCACATGCCTGTGTGCTTTGCTTGGCCAGAGCATGAAAGGATAGCATAAAACTGGCAAGTGTTTTCATTGCATTTGCTCTCATTCTGCCAATTCTCTCTTCTTTTGGCTTACTGATGAGTTAGGAAGGGCTGACCATAAAGGGAACTATGATTTATTCTACCTTTCTCTTTCCTTTCATGTCTTAATTTTTATAGGTAGCTGGCTGGTATAAAGGAGTAACAACAATAAAAGAGAAATATTTGTTGTTTGTGGTTCTCAGAATGTCATTGCATTCTTTCTGTATTTGAAGAAAGTTCCTGCTTGAACTGAGAGTGCAGCATCTCTGGCTGTCAGGGAGCCTGCTTTTCTGTCCAGAATATGTTGTGCTCACCTAGTCCTGTTCAAGTCTCTGAGCTCCCACACACTGTGGAGTCTCCTGAATTCTGGGCACAACAGGAAACATGCATGTATCTTCTCCACTTCCATCCTCCATGGTCCCATAGCACTTCCCTTACAAAATAAAAGTTCAACAATAAAGTAATTAAGAACTTCAAGAAAACCACAGTAGAGCATTAAAACAAGCACAGAACCCCTCTTGGTAGAGGGCCACATGTGACTGTCCAGGTCTGTTGTCCACAAAGCAAGTCCTGGAGGAAGCAGAGCCAGCGAAGGGGCAGAGCAAGGCTCTCTAAAGGGAAGGAGTGGCCTATCCAAAAGCTGCAGACTTGGGCAACTAAGCTTAGATCTAAATAATCTGCCTGCAGTCTCCGCTGGTAAGTGATGGAGCTGTATTATCTCTGGAAACAGAAGCCCAGTCACGTGGCCTGGGCCTGCACTGTACACAGCTCAGCTTCTCAGTTGTTCTATTCCTCATAGCCAAGAAACATTTTCAGGTTAATTCACTGACAGGCTTGTTCCAGAAGCACAGTTACCATTATGCTAATGCCATTCACAAGACAGGTTAAGTGAAGTCAGCAACTACATTAGTAATAATTATAATATTTAGAATAAAAATACTTATTAGCAATAAGAATAGCTAATGTTTACTGGGCATCTACTAAATCCCTGGTGATCCCCTATGAGTTTCTATTAGAGTATTATATTTTTCTTCACAGAAACTCTGAGCTCAGCAATATTTTTATGCACCTTTAACAAATCAGGAAAATGAGGCACAAAGTTATTCAACAAATTGAGTAAGGCTGTGCAACTTGGCTAGTGACAGAGTCAATTTATTCAACCCAGGCAGTTGTGCTACTTTGAATGACCTCTTTACCTGGATGATTTCTGTGCTAGCAAGGCCTGCCAGTAGGCAGGTAGAATTAAAGTAACTGATCCAGAAAGGATAATCAATATTTATTTCTAGAATACTATAACTGGGAACTTTAATAACATTTTAATACATCTGACATAAATAACTAAACTCGTATTAAAACATAAATAACTAAACATACTTTTTCTTGCATTTTCCTCTTCAGAAAAGACTTTTTAAATACTCTTACTATAGATCTAATTCTTTATTGTGTAGCCAAAATTCCATATGCAGGAAATACTTTATGCAGTTCCATAGGAGGAAATATTTTGTATTTACCTGGATATCCTGTGTACCTTTCTTATCTACACTTAAGACACAACCAGGAATCAGGAAATAAAGGGGAAACCCCACTGACTCACTGAAGGGATTGTTCTCCACGGAGCTATTGACCTTAGCATTGTGTGCAATCAGATTTTCTAACTTACACATGGTTAGTTGCATAGCTTGCTTGCTTTTGTTTTCTGTATGTGTGCTGGATAACGCACTCGTGAAACTTTTTGATTTAGCATAACGTAGTTATGCTAGTTAGTTAATCTAGTTTGCTTTGTTACTCTGTTTCATTTCTGGATTGGATCAGCTCTATGAGGAAGCTCACGTATCAAATATACAGATACCTAGTAGTGAATCAGTGGTCCTGAGTAATAAACAGTGACAAAGGTAACCAAGAAAAACAAACAGAAAATCCTAAGCACTAGGATAGGTGCTTATCAGCTTTTCATATGAGTATGAGAGTGTCTTTCAGTCTTAATTTATTGTACTCTATGAGAAACCTCAATGATTGGGAACAATGCCAACAAAATCCATGTTACCAAAATAAATTATATTTTCCAACAAAAAGTACCTTTAAAATTTAGTACTAATAAGTGCAGTGAGGTACATGTTATCACATGCTATCTTATGGACTGTAAATACGCACTGTCTTTCTGTAAAGAAAACTGATAATTGTAAGAGCCATAAAAATGCTTAGCTCTTGATATGTCAGTTTGTTTTGAGACACATTCAAGAAGAAATAACTAAATTTGCTAACAAAGCTTATTCTTAGCATTATTTTAAATATACTAAATTTAAGATTATCTTAATATTTGATAAGAGTAAATAATGTATTATGTGATGAAATTATGCATATCATTTTAAATGGATTTAATTAACTATAATAAACTGTTTAAAAATACACATCCACTCACTAGTCATGTAATATTAGAGAAGTAATTTCTCTATATAACTTAGTTCTCTGTGGTTGGTACAGAAGAAATACTAAGTTAATGTTGATTATTTTATTACCTCTTTTATCATCTTCATTCTCATTTCAAAATAACTTTTGGTGTGCTTTTTAAAATATCCAATTTTAAAATTTTTGAATAGTAGTTTGATCTTAATGGTTTAACAAATATTATGTAGGTATGTGTGTATCTATAAAATAACAGGTAATTAAAATTTCTTCTTTAAAGCTTAAAATATTTCTGTTTATTAACAACAAACATATTATTTATTATCAGAACAAATATTTTCAATATGAAGACACAAAGCATACAATGCAAAAGCCAAACTACATTGAGAAAGGATTTATTCTACTCATTATATACTCTTTTAGAAAGATAGCCATGAAAATAGTTAAAATTAGGCTTTCGGGTCAAATGAGTTACACTTCACTAGCTGGAATAGTCAGTGATATTGTTTATTCCTGATTAATGCTAGACAATGAGAGACAAACAGTAACAAGAAAAACCAGATTGTCTGAGACCACTTGATCTTGAACATTATATAACAGCCTCATTTCTAGGTGTGTTCACCATACTGAACTTCAGGAAATTACCTCTTGGAATTTACCAGAATTTTGTCTAGATTAAAAGAGTTGCCACAGGAAAAGAAATCCTGATTCTATATTGGTTCCTGAATGATCTGTAGTCTGGGCTGGTTCTGAGTTTCTTAGGGACTTACTTCTTGAAAGAGAAATAATTTAGCTACTTTCTGTATATCTTTGGACTAATAAAGAGGGCCCTTGACTACTCTAATTTCATTACAATTCAAATGCATAATTTGTACTTTGGAAACAATCCCACCATATATTCTGAAAGAAAAATGGAAATGCTTCAATAAACATAAGCTTAACAAGCTATATCCCTTTAAATTACTGTATGAGATGACAGGTCACATAACAATTCAATCAATCTCAGTAGTATTCATTTTTCCAGTCCATCTGTTGCAAGATGGTTCCTTTTTCTTTCATTTCTTACTTTCTAGGGGATGTACTATAGGTCATAGACTCAATCGCACCCAAGAAAAGGTGAATCTGTTGGGACTCACTGGACAGGACTGATGACCTTTCCACACGTGTTAGCATTGCTTTCCTAAAGCATTTTGTTAGCACAAAATGAGAAACCCAAAGTATAAATAATTTAAAAAACAAAAGAGCAGATAGAAGATAGAAAACAGAGAAGTAGATCTTGTAGAGATGAGAAAGGGATCTGGGGGTGCAAAGGGGGAGCCAAGCAGGGGAGAGAAAAGGGAGATTAAAGGAAAAATATAAGAGCTCAAGATGTGATATACATATGTACAATTTCTCCATGGTTACTGTAGGAACTATGCATCACAAATACACTGTGTATCACAAACATGACACAAAGTAATAAAGTGGCATAAAACATCTGGTATTTGTAAGAGCTTTCAATAGGGCAAATGTACACTCATATGCCAGTAGAGACGTTTTCTTGACATTTAAAAAAAAAGTCTCGGTTCTCTATTTCCTTTGTATATAAATGAATCCTCCAAAAAGTCCTTTGTATTTGAAGTTTATTAGCCAAATTGGTTCTATTTTCTTCTGTATGAAGATATTAATTAAGTTTATCTTAAAGAAATGATTCTTAAATCATGAGACCTAGTGTCTTGCTAAATCCTTATCAGTATGGGAATAAATGTTTTAAGAAGCAAATGAGACTTTGAATCTGAATCCTGAAGGAGATTTTAAGATACTTTAAATTTTTATGCCTGTCTTAAAAGAAAAATTCTAAAATAATTTAAAACATTAGCTTAAAAAGTAACACTACTTTCATTGCTGAAACAAAATACTGACATCCAAAATTAAGGAAATAAAGGTTTATTTTGTTCACAGTTTGTGGAAGTTTCATCCATAATCTGCTGGGTCCAAAATAGGGATGGCTCAGGGCAGAGAACAACAGTTAATGGTGGCAGAAGACAGGAAAGCAACAAGAACAAAGAGGAAGAAGCACAAGAAAAACTCTTCCTCTCCCTTATATTGTAGTTAGGCTACTCACATTAAGGTGGATTTACACTCATAATCCCAGCATTGGACCATGAATCAATCACAAACTCTAGAAGCTTGCCCCCTTGACTGTATGAGGCTTTGGGGGACATCCAGACACAAAACAAATAATTACTAAAAAAAAATCATGTTTTAGTTTAATCCATCAATAATAAGTAACATAAACAACCACTCTGTAAAAACTCAATGTTTCATCGAAATTGTCTTTCAATCATTTGGAAGTTCAGTAATCAATCATTGTTTTGACGAGTAACAGCCTGATGTTTTAAAAAGTCTTGATATGAAAAAAGATAAAAAGAATGATTAATTCTTGGAAATATTTCTTCCACTCCATTAAAGAAGAAATTCTTTGGTGTCACAAAGCAGTTTTCTAGATCTCACCTGGAATTCAATGGAAGAGAAACTTGGCAAATATGATAAAACTATTACTGACTTGAAATGCAAATAAAATCTTTCCTTTGTTCTTTTCAGGAAAAGCTAATATGATATTGAGAGCAACCTATTACAGAGCAGCCAGCACCTCACACATTCTGACAGGTTGACACAGGTTTTTCTAATGGAAGTACAGATGTTTAAGAACTCCCACAGGACCATTCCAAGAGTTTTCATGGTTAATGTCCAACTGTTATAACAGGTTCATCCAGGGAGAACATAATGAGAGTGAAGCCCAGGGGAAATGAGACACTGGCATAGAAATGGGGACGTCCAGACTTCTAGGTGCTAGTACTAAATCTCTGATGTTTGAGATAAGAGAAAGTGTATTGGTCATAAAAACACAAAGCAAGTTGAAATGTGTATTTCTTTGCATATATGACAAACTGTCGCAGAGAAAAATAGTGACTATTTCTTTTCTCTTTTTGTATCAGGGTTTGAACTCATGACCTTGTGCTTGCCATGCAGGCACTTGTACCACTGAGCTAAATCCCTAACCCCATAGTGACTATTTCTTTGTGAAATTTTCTTGAAAAGAAAATTATAGAAATTTTCATAATTTTGTATATAAGATCATCTTGCAAGTATGTTTTTAAAATACATCTTGCTATAACTTAAAACTAGTGGTAATTTTACCAGAATCAGAAGAAACAAGAGAATAGTTATTTTTGGTTAATGTGTCCAGTCCTTCGCAAACTTGAATATGCACACAAAAATCACTTGGGGAACTAGTTAAAATGTACTTTCTAGTTCAGTAGATTCAGGGTGCTAGGATTTTTCATTTTAAAGGAACTTCCACAGAGAATGCCCAGGACTTCACTTGGAGAAACAAGGATTGAGACCATCCCCAGCTCCAGTCCATTTCCCCGTCTGACGTTACTTACCTTCCGTGCTGCACTTGATTCACCTAGGGTAGATACCTGATGCAGGAGGATTGGAGTCTTCTCCTGATTACAGTTGATTCATTCCCTGAGGGTGGCATCTGACTCAGAACAGGTTTGTCAGGTGCTCTTGTCCAGGACCTTTTGAACTGTAAACAGAGCATATCAGTGTCTCTGTGGCAACAAAGCTACGTGTTATGATGATCAGGTCTAGAGGTTGTACATTTTCCTCCTGAAAAAGGAAAATTGTTGTAGAAGAAGAGGCCAGTAAATCAAGAGATGGGCAGAAACCAAGCTACAGAATGTTCTTAGTTTTCACTGAACGTGAGCTCTAGGGGCAGCCTTACCTTTACAGTGCCATGTAAGACTTGCTCCATATTCTTTATGTACAGGTATGGTTGAAAAACTCCAGTGAACGTTTAAATCTTTTTAAAAAATTATTACAAAAAAGCCAGGCTGCCGTTAATTCCCCTCAAAGACGCCCCCTTTAAACACACTTACGCCGTCATTCTTGCCACTTTTTGAAGCGTTCAGGAAGTCTCCCTTACATGTCTCTAGTCATACTTTCGTGATTACTTGATGCTCCAAATCTACCTATGATGGTTATTTTGACTTTGGGAAAGAGCCAGAAAGTGTATAGTGTCAGATTTGGTGAGTAACGTGGATGACGACCTGCTGTAATGTTTTTACAAGCTGACCTCTCTGCTAGATGACACTCAGCAACAGCATTTGCTCTATTTTTTTTTATCACGTCTTGTAAAAACATAAAAGAGAACTTGACAGCCTCAGAAAATGGCAAAAACAATGGGATAAGTATGTTCAAAGTTCGGGAAGTATTTTGAGGAGGATTAGTGGCAATGCTGCATTTACTATAATGGGTTCTTTAAATTTGAGCATTCATATATATTTTAATCATACCTTGTATGTATAAACTTACTGGAATTAGTTTTCTGTCACGTACAATGAAAAATGTGCTCCCTAAATACAACACTCATACAATACACTTATTATTTTATAAAATAGTTTCATTCCTTTCTTCCTTGGACTAAATCATTCACTGAAACTTATACACAGAATCTATCTTCTAAATTTTTATTTGTTACCTCTTTGACTGAGTTCAGTATGGTTTAGAGTACTTGAAACACGATAATTGTGGACAAATTTATTTTTCATTGAGCACAATTTGTACTGCACAGGAGATTCCACTTGGAGGCAAGTGTCATATGATCACTGCTCTTCCGGTGGCTCATGGTTTAGTAGGGAAGACAAACAAATAGGCAAAGTACTTTAATATGATGTGATATGTCACAGAAATATAAAGGAGAAAGCACCATTGAAGAAGCAGCATCTTATCCCTAAGTTTTAAAGGATAAACAGAGAACAAAGAAACTCCAAGCAGAGAGAACCAAAGAGGCAAAGGTATAGAAATAAAAAGAAGAAATTTTCCATTTAGAAAATTGTAAATATTTTAGTGTAAATGTAATACGAGTATAAATGCAATATGAATAAGATGCCAGAAAGCCTGTAGGCAGTATGTAATGATCATGGGAAACAGAACAAGACCATGTTTGTTTTTAGACACTGTGCTGAAAAATGTATTGTGAAAAATCAGGATAGTGACAAAAAGTTCTGTTAGGACAGATAGTGAATGTCTGTGTAAAAGTAATAATAAAAATGAAAATTTTCAGGATCAACTGTTATTGCCTGTTACAAATAGCCCACCTTTCTTAATTTATTTTAGACATATATAATTTTGGAATTGTTATAACATTATCATTTTACATGCATATATATGGACAACATATTTTTGCACCTTTTAAAAATCTAAAGTATCTTTTAGAGAATTTCTCTAAAAGTCAATTTAAATAAATTCATGTAGATTTAATTGATAAGCATTATTTTTGTCATCTTCTTTCATATTTGTCATTTTATGGATCCCTGTTTTGGTTTTTCCATTGTCCTACTTTCCTAACTTCTGTTAGATAACGTGCATTTTACTCTGCTGGTTTGAAACTCAGACAATATAATTTTATTCTTCTATTTCAATCTATAGCCTGTTCTTATATTTATAATTCATTCATTTATTTTTATCCTAACAGAATTATAGTATTTGCCAAAGGCTGTATTTTACTTACCTCATTCAGTTCTAACAGAAGTGCTTTAGTAGACTCTTGTTTCCCTGTAGACATCAGTACTCACCTGTCTCATGTTGATTTGTTTTCTACAGCTTAAACCATTCACAGAATAGATTTTTGTTGTCACTAGTTGCTTCTTTTGACAATACATTTTAAAAATAATGACAGGAATATTTTAAAATTATTTACTGATATTTGTTTCCCATATTTTCTTAGTGCTTCAATTTATATTGCTTCTTTCTGGAAAATTCCTCCAACCATACTTTCAACGTGTGTGTCTAATGGTTTGAATCCTAGCGTTTCTGACATTATTTGCACCTTACTCTAATATAGATGTCTCATTTAACAAGTGAATTTATGACAAAGGTATGCTGTTCAGACATACAATCCACCACTTGAATTTGCGACCTATCTTTTTTTGAGTACAGTTCTGTATATCTTGTTAATAAGGCCTCAATATCTTCTTTGTACAGCACATCTTGTTTATATAGTACCTGTACTTTTGCTGACTGTACTGTACAAAACAGTAATATAGTTTTATGTTCTGTTATATATTACAGTACTGCATGTAAGAAGTATGCAAATAAAGGCAAAGTCTTTAAGTGGAAGTTTCCCTTGACTATTTCTTTGTTCTGCATACTATAGTGAACATGCTATATGCAAGTGTTTATTTAGTGACATATTTACTTCATGGCCCAGAAGCAGAAGAAAGCCCAGTCATTAAATGAAGAATTTCTATAGTTAAGTTATAATGGAAAATACCAAGATTCAGTTTTTCTTCTTGTACCTAAGGATGTGAGCGAGACATGTGCTTGGTTGTCTTCAGCATCCAGAGGATAAATGAAGCCATGTGTAAGAGTGAGATCACCAACTGGAGCAGGAAGAGGGAGAAAACAAGGAGCCAAGAATAAGCTGTTAAAAACAAACAAACAAAGAATAAGCTGTTGAGAAGAACCAGCATTTAAGGTGGGGATAAGGAGATGTTGTGAGCCAGACTGGAAAGAAACCGCCAGAGGTTTGCAAATATAATCAGGAGTGTGTCATGGCAACCAAATAAGAAGGCAATTCCAAAAGAGAAGTAATCTCAGCACCAAATATTACAAGGAAGTTAAATAGGGTAAGTGTGCCAAACTGTTCATCACATGAAACAATGCATTATGATTACTAGGTTTTTTTTTTTCTTTTTAAAATGAGAAAACATGTTGTTTTCCGATGCTGGTGAAGTAGGAAGTCAGGAGAGAACAGGATACAAAAAGATGAGGAACAATTAATGTGTCTTCTAGGTATTGGATAAAAATGGAGGATAAAGACCACAAGTACATGGAGACTAGCCTTTAAAATGGTAATATGAACAGGTGTGGTGACACAAATCTCTAATTTCAGCACTCAGGAAGATTGAGACAGAAGGATCCAAAGTTTGAGCTCAATCTGGACAATTTAATGACTTAGAGAGACCCTGTCTCAAAAATAAAAATCACAAAGGAGGAGAGGGTAGAGTTCAGAGCAAAGGTTTAATCCCCAGTACTGAAAAAAGTAGTATAGTCATATTTGGGGAAAGAACCAATACATATAAAGACATTTGTAGATGGAAATTAAAGTATTTGGAGGGGAGTTCATATCTAGAAGCTTCCTAGAGTTCATATCTAAGAGCGTCAGCTTCTAGGACTTGTGATGATAGGTAAGAAGTGAGGTGAGTTAATACTGTAGTAACCATGGTATTATAACTATTAATAATACCAGTCAATAGTAGTAATAACAGTGATCCACTTGCACCAGTAATATTGGATATTCTTTCAGAGTAAATCAAATAACAGAAATATTTGCCTGAAGAAAATAATTGGATGTGTTCAGTTATTCCCCTGCCAAAACAAAAACAGATTTAAGAGAAGAAATTCCTTTCCATAGTTATTTATATAAATGAATATACTGCTTCTAGTGTACTTTTTAGAAAATTTTTTATTCAAAGGGAAAAAAGAAAGAAAAAAAAACAGTATAAGGGTACAAGTAATACAGACTTACAAAAAACGGTAAGCAATCACTAGTTAATAGATTACATATTGTCATCTTAGAAATAGTTTGTTCAAGTTACAGGATTAAAGTATACAAAGTGGGCATTCAAACAGTGAAACTGCAAAAACAGTTGTGTTCAATGATCCAACAAAAATTCAGTAATATGGTCATCTATCTTAACACACTTAAACACACTTACAGTTGTATCCTTTAGAGCACTTTTTTTTCACTCTTTTTTACAACAAAATTTACACATTTTGGGTTTTATTACTCCCATAGTTCTTATTATTTTTTTGGAAGAGAATAAAACCAAATATGACAAAACAAAGCAGTCAGTCAAAACAAAGGATAGACACAGCACATGATATAAAAACAGAATACAAGGTTTTCAACAATGGTTACCATAATGCCTCTTGCTTCCTTAAAAAGAATTGCCTATATCATCAGGTATAATAAAATTGAACAAAACAGAACAAGACCAATAAAACCTAAACATTGGAAACATTACAGGACTTCAAAAGAAGATAATAGTCAAACCAGAATGGGCATCATAGTGAATCTTATTCAAAGTAGTTGCCTATACCCTCAAACTTGATACTATCAAACAGAATGGAACACAATCTAATCAGTCAAAACAAGATAGTAGGGGTAATACAGGGCTTCAAATCAAATTAATAGGAAATAAAAAAGTTACTATAATATATACTGCTAATTTTTTATTTTTCCCCTTAATTAAAAAATAATAATAAAATTAAAAAATAAATAATTTTTAATGAATAAGGGGGAGATTGAGATAAAAGAGGACATAGCAACATAACAATACAGGTCAAAGCATGACAATTTCAGCAATCTAGTGCTTCACCACCAAATAGCCCAACTTAATACTAATTTGCATAGTGTCTCTTTCCTTGAAATATTTGAATATAACTTCATATACTATAGCATCAAACATATCAAGACAGTGTAAACCATGCAAGAGGATGAAAGTATTACAGGGTATTTAGAACCAGCTAACAGAAAATGAACAATGGTTTCTACATTATCTCTTTGCCTATAAAAATTTTTGTTTATACTATCACATAAAATAAAATCCAGTAAGATACAACATGATAAAACCAATGGAGACAGAAGAGCAACAGTTTCGGGGGACTTCAAAACAAAGTGATATTAAAATCAGCACTAGCTATTATAATGTCTTGTTTTCTTCAAAATAGCTGTTCATGTCATCACAGGCAATAATATCAAGCATTCCAGAATAATGGGATTATTACTCATTCCAATTAATGAGTGAAAACTTTGTAAGGCTTCAAAGCCACATAATGGGGAATCATGATTACCACATACTTTTATATATTTGGATCATTTCTTACACTAGGGAAACTATTTGGTATTCATACATGTGAGTTTGATATATTTCACTTATGAGTATGGTCTCAAGCTGCGTCCATTTATTTATAAATATTTCAATGTGATC